ATGTCCATTTCAGAATTTGTGGTTGATGAGTGGGCTTGAGGTGTTGAGGTGAACAGAGGACGCCTCGCACCAGATGTGCCGGGTGTTGAAACTGCCGCGTCAGCAGGAGGAGCTGCGCTGGCATCTATGTCAGGAACATGTGGTATACTTGTTGTTGTTGGCCATTCCTCGCTGTTCCACGCCAATAAGGCTTTTATTCCTACTGCGTGAAACTCTAATAGTGTTAGTTTTTTTGTATCTGTTGAGTAGTGGTTATACAATGCGTATGCATTGTGCATGGCCATTTGCAGAAAATAGAAAGTGATCTTCTTGGTCCATTTGTGGGTTTTTCTTGCAAACTCATAATATTTGACTATTTGATCAAAATGATCAACACCTTTCATGAACTTATTGTAATCCACTATGGCCTTTGGTTTGTTCATTTTCACAATTTCTACTCCAGTTCTCCTGTCACGTTTACGAACGTGTTTCCTGCGCTGTGCTTGAGTAGTGTCGGCATTGTGGATATTGGTGATGACAGAGACGGGGCGCTTGTCCTTCCAAACTATAACATGATTTCTATTTCCATGAAAACTCCATGAATGAAACTCCATGAAAACTATTTCATGGAGAAAAATCTGAGAGTATCCCCATACATTTCGGTTAGAAAATGGAATTTATAGAAATATTTTTTCGATGGACTACAAAAGTAGGCTGTTATGCGGAATCGTAAGAAAAAACGGCGACGAGTTATCTCTAATCTAAAGCGCGAAAGTGTTAAGATCAGGAAGAGAAAGTGGGACATTCGGGGGAGAATAAATGGAACAGACAGTATACCATTTACTCACAAAGATACGGGCCGCAGAACACTGAATGGGCGACAGAAAAAGTAGGGGGACGAATGGAATATTATGATGAATAAAGAGAGCTGTAGTCACATGGGCTCCAACAAGAGCTCGAGAAGGAGAGAGAAAGGAATAGCCACGGAAATGACCAGAAAGAGCGCCAATCATCGGCTCCTGGAGACAAACACAAAGCAGAGAAAACTGTGTGATCAGAAGTTAAAGTTCATGGAAGTTGGCATAAAAACCACAAATATTCCACTGAAGAACATAAAAAAAAAGCAAAAACAAATAATAAACAGAGACAGGCATACCATCAGCAATATACTGGGTGACCGCCTCGACAGTTTCAACAGGAGAAGGAGAACTGGCAACATGACGAACACCGGGAGGAGGATGGACAACGGCCTGAACAGACAGGCAGCGAGGAGGGTCAAGAGACAGAGGGGAGGGCTCAGAAGGAGAGGGGCAAGAAGGGAGGGAGGGCTCGGGAGACAAGGAAGACTGGGAAGGAAGTAAGGAAACACCAGACAGAGAACCAGGAGGAGGACCCTCTGACCCAGAATGCAAAGAAGCAGACAGAACAGACGAGGTGGTGGTGGTGTCAGGGTCCAAGGCCCCGAAACAGTTGTGAAACTGAGAAAGTGGACGAGGACGAGAAGGGGCATGCAACACACGAGTATAAGACATGCCAGAGAAAGAGGGAAGATGGCGAACCTGGCGCCTAGACTCAGGAAAAGACAAATGATCACAATGCTTCAAATTGAGGATGGCTTCCTCAAATTTGTAATACACACATGAGTGGGAGAAGGCAGAGTGCGGGGCACCGTAATTGATGCAGAGAGTCTGGGAAGAAGAGCACTCCGTATTGGAATGACCAGAGGTTCCACACAAGGGGCAGAGAGAAACCTCACTTGTGTACCTGGAGGGACCATGCCCAAATATCCAGCACCTGCTGCAGAGGCAAGGAGAGGGAATGTACCCCTGAATGGAGCATCCGGCACCAGCAAGAATGACTGAAAAGGGAAGGGACCTACCATCAAACGTGACCTTCACAAAGCGAAGAGGCTGATAGCAACTACCACGAGGGGGTCAAGTGAAGGTATCCACCTGGAGGATAGAATAGCCTTGGGAATCAAGGATATAATTAATATCCTCATAGCAGTCTAAGTTTCCTGTCACCAGTCACAACATGGTGCAGAAGAATTATGCCTATGCTGGCATTCAACCGGGCATTTTTGGAGATCCGAACAGGAGTCTCCCCAATGCAGGACAATGAAGCCAAGCGGGCAGCCACTTCTTGAGAAGGGGCTGCAACATGGGTATCAGTACGGGTGTGGTTAAAAGTGACCAACATATCCACCAAATTCATATGCACAAGGTGCATATGGAAAAATAAAATCATCAGGACGAGTAGGGTCAACTTGAATAAGATCAAAATCCATATTCCATGTAGCCGGACCAAACAAAGCTTGGAAAGGAGATTGTGAAGGAATCAAGCACGAGCGAGTGCGGAAGTGATGATGCTGAGCACTCCCGGTTAACCGTCAACAGTCGTTGACGGTTGACGCCGTCAACTCCCCCAATGCCGAGCCTTTTACCCCAAGAAGGGGTAAAAGGAGCAGTTGTGACAACTAGAGACGGAGCCACGTCAGGTGATGAGGTCGTCACCACTGGGGGCTTGGGGCTCAACCCCACCACAGAGGTGGAGGGGGGAGAGCAGAGAGAGGCAGTCGGGAGAGTCCGAGAAGGAACATTATCAGGGGGGACAATGTAGTGGGGGCTACAGAGCCCGGTCTTCCAACATAGTTTAACTCGGGTGCTTGGTAGTCCACCCCACGAGTCTGGGAAGTGAAAAAGAGGGACAATAATTGGCATAATAACGAGCATGTAAGAAATTCATTCACGAATAAGCCCCCATACCCACAATGGAGCCACAACTAGAGGATAGGACACCCAACAAGATGGGCTGCTCCCCCCAGGGCTGCATCATGAGTATACACCCCGCAATCGCCACATTATCACTTTCGCGCTAACCGGACTCACCGAGGAGTCCTGTTTCGCCTAACGCTACCGCATAGTGGACATAAAGTTATGTCCTCTTTTAAAATATTTGTATAAAATTCAATTTTTATCCGATTTACTTTGGGTTTGTTTCAAACTGCGCGCCATGAGGCTCTCTTTCTCACCACTAGGCTGCATGGTACAATAAGTTCATGAAAGGTGTGGACCACTTCAATCAAATGGTATTATGTCCCAAACGGGTTGCAGGTGGGTGACTTTAGCCGTTTATACTGGTAATGCTTCCCCCATATCATGTATTATATGCATATGTCTGTTTAGGGAATTTTATTCCGATCAATGTACAACCAAAAATAACTGTGTGCAACAAGTATAAACTTGACAAACATAACAAAAGTAAAAACATTTCGTGTGTGTTTGACGCTCACTGATATGTTCCAGCGTTGTTTTATATTTGGCGCTATTCTATCTTACGCTTTGTTGATCTTTTTTACCTACGGGCTCATAGAACATTCTATTGCGAACACATTGACACAAAAATGAATGACGTACATAGAAAATTAATGTCATGAGAGTGAAATAAGTATAAACTTTCAAACTGCCGTGCGTCGTCCCGTCACCGATACCGGGTAACAATTTCACCACTTCCCACACTCTTGCGGGCGGGCCGCATTCATTATTCTACGCTTATATTCATATCACCGTGTTGGGAATTTCATTGCGAGTCCATTGATACCAAAATTAACGCTGTAGGACAAGTGTGGAGGTGATAACAATCCCAAGAGTAAAAACATTTTGTTGCTGTTGGGCGCTCACGGCGAGTCATCTTCGTAGTTATTTATTTGGTGCTGGTATCCCAATACGTTTCGTGACTTTTTTTACTGATGTTCTTCTAGAGAATTTTATTGCGAACACGTTGGTACCAAAATGAAATACGTAGCTCAAGAACTAAGGTAAGGAGAGTAAAAAGAGAATACACATTTTTGTTTTTACGCTTACTCAGCAAAAACGCTCCGCGCACATACCCCTTTTTTTTTTACCATCGAAGGGGGCGCGAAAGTGTAGAGAGCCGTCAGTCCGTCAAGATTGGGTTCAGCAACGAAGGCGAGGATTGACAATAAAAGCGTCCCCTCGCTCAACTTCGCATACCACAGTTCTACAGGTGAGAGAGTGTGCCTCCCTCAAACACTGGGGGATCAAAACAGAAGAAGTCCAAAAGAATAATCAAGAATGGCAAAACGTTGGTGGGAAAAGACAATCGGAAAGGAGAACAGAGTGGAGGAAAATGAAAAAGAAGGAAGAGAAAATAGCTTCTAGCAAAATTAGTGAGGACAGCAGCAGGAGCATAAGGCTTCAAAAGGACAGAGGACTGTCTCATGGAGCATCACACCCCCAGCAGGCGCCCACCAAACCCAGTCACGACGACAACGGGCTGGACAGCGAGGGCCAACTACCTTCCAAGATGTTCAGTTTAACACACTGCTTTGACAGTGATGTTACAGCACACAACCTCACCATCCGCATCAGATGCCATCCCATACATTGTTCTCATGCTTACCAAGTCTAAATGTATAGATTTAGAGGACAATTTAGGGAAGAAAAATTATAGTATTTAAATTTAAACAGCTAGGATTTTGCCGTGATGCTACTACGTGTATATTTTGTGGTGACACACAATTTAGGACATTATAATAAAAGTTGCAAACCACTGAACATTCTACCCCTTTTTCTTCAATAACTTACCACTGTTGCAGATGAGGAGTCACAATAACGTGGCTGAAATATGTTGACTAAACCACACGCTAGAAAGTGAAGGGATGACGTTTCACTCAGTCCTGGACCATTCTCAAGTTGATTATGCATTCTCAAGTCGACGACGTTCGTCCCTTCACTTCTAGTGTGTGGTTTGGTCAACACTTACCACTGTTGTTGCATAAGTGAACAACACTGTTCTAGATAGACCCCAACCAAGCAAAAACAAGAAATTAAATATTGGTAACTCTGACACTACCAATAATAATTCTGATGATACTTCACATTCATGCCTAAGCCTTACATTCCATTCTAAGCAAAACACTTTCACCCCCTTCCTCTGTGTTAAAATTGAATCACTAAATTAGATTTATCTACAATTATTTCCCCTCAGTCACTATTTACCTGGATGGCTCTGAACCAGACACAGCAGCAGAGCAAAACTTGCCATTGGGGTCAGTCGCTACTGACCCATGAATTTACAGCATCACTGTTCCACTTGAAACTTGCTCTTTCTCATGAAGCCACGAGGTAGAGCATGTCTGTCACCTGGTCCTCTGAGCGCTCATTGTGTAGGAGAGCTGCACACATTGTAGGGGCCGGCTCCACCCACAAATATCTGCAAGGTTATAGGTAATTAATACTATTTTACTCCTCAACATCTACATGAATGTAACAATTATTAAAAAAAAAACAGCATTGAATGTAATGAAACGCCATTTACTGGGTGAGTCCTGGAGGCTCCCCGGAGCTTTCCCAGGCTGATATGCCAATGTCAGACTTTGGCATCACTCATGTGTATGGAGTTCTTAGGCCTACTGGGGACCACGGCCAGAACTGGGCCCCCTCAGAGGCATGGGAAGCAATAGCCTATAGAAACCCCCATGTAGTTGGAAGCATTCTATGTCTGCCATCGACCGGATCAGACACCCAGAAAGGTAAGCGCCTCAAAACAAACCCCTATTCTGGTTAAAATTGCTACTAAAAGCTGAACTAGTGGATAGAACTCCCCAACAGAAAACAAGCACACTAGTGTAACGTCACACGTCGCTGTGCCGCTGTCTGCGCAGCTCCCCCTCCCCTGGAGGGGGAAGGGAGAGCCCCAGACCCTTCATGCCGGCTACCCACACCTCAAAAGGGCCACCACTTACGGGCTATTCATGCCCGTGCCACCTCTTGGATGGCTTAATCTTTATCAATCAATCAATCTCCTCTTCACAATCGACTTGAGAATGGTCCAGGACGGACCGAAACGTCGTCGTCCCTTCAACTTCTAGTGTGTGGTCTGGTCAACCCACACCTCAGTTCTGAGGCTGGATATCAAAAAACACGAAAAAAATGCCGACCAGAGGGAGGGAGGGATGCTGGGGCGCCTCCGAGACTCACCCAGGAAATGGCGTTTCATTACATTCAACGCTGGTTTTCTGGGGGGAGCCCCGTCGGCTCCCCGGAGCTAACTACCCACAGACAGAAAAAAAGAGGAACTTTCCCGGGAGGCGGTCGTCGCTCACTCCTCAACTCGAAGTCGAGACAACTGGCTGCAACCGTCGACCCAAAGCAACACAGGCCCGATGGGGCCCAGGGACATCCACGAGGTAATGAGCAGCCAGGAGCCTGTTCGACCGCCAAAAACCCCGCGCCCGAATGGCAGACCAAGGCATATTTCCAAAGACGGCAGCAAGAGCCGCGAACTTACGGACGTCATGGGAAGGTGGATAGACCGCAGGCTGGCTAGATTTGATAACCCTGTGGACAACCTGGGAGACCTGAACCCGGGAACAGAGAAGAAGGTAAACCGGATCAACCCAAAGCGCGGAGGTGAAACAGAGCAAGAGACAGCTTGCGAAATGGCGCAGACATAACATTGATACCGAAGGCAAGCTGAAGCGGCTCCACCAGCGCCGCACGATACGAGTTGACAGTGTTAGGCATAAGAGTCCTGAAACAACCAAGAGAGAAAGGACAAGACCACCCGAACAGACAACGAACTAACATGACGAAGATGCAAAAAGACACAGAAGGACCGCCAGGAAACTTCATACTGCTGCCGAGAAGAAGCCCTCAGGTGGGACACTAACAAGGAGGCCACATGATCACCATAGAGATGATGATAGACTCGAGTCAAAAAACCATACGCGAAGACTCGAGGAGAAGAACGAACAAGCCACGTGACGAACAATCCACTCCAAGAAGACCTGACAGAGCGCAGGGAAAGAAACTTGCCCTGCCAGCCCCGACCTTCCCAAAGGGGGGGGGGGGGGGGCACCCAACGCCACTGCAGGCCAACAGACACGACCCGAAACGCCCACGAATCGTGGGACCAGGCGTGGGCGAACAGAGCTAGCCTCCCCCCATCGCCCCGTCAATAGGGCAAACCGCGAAAGGGCCAGCGCCCCTTACGAGACCCAGAACCCCGCACAGAGCGAACACCACGCCGACCAGACAAGGGCGGGTCCCAAGCAGGAGCCGAACCCGAACCTGACATCAGTGGCCTACCACGACGAGAGGAACCCCAAGCCCTGGCACGACCCTTCCAGAAGAACCCACCCCAGGACCCCGGAAAACCAACAAGTCCGACATCGGACGACAAGCTGACGACGCAGCCTGGATAAACTGCGCCACGGCCGATTCCTCAAACAGAAGAGGACAAAAATGCGACGACAGCCTAAGAGCCAGAGCCCAAGCAGATTCCACGGAGGAACCCAGCACCGCCTGCCGACATGCGAGACGGGAAACATAAAACAGGGAAACCGCATCCCGCAAAATCGGCGTGAAAAGCTTCAACAAGGCAGCCGACGAACGCACTGCCGAGGACAAGGCGCCAGACCCCGGGACGGACCCAACCATCCTCATATCCTCCACGAGCTAATCCGAGGACAGCTCCATGAGGGAAAAGAACCGCAAGGCCGAAGCCAAAAGGCCCCGGGCGCCCAAGTCCTTTGCCACGAGCGCTGCCGAAAGGGTGGGAACCTGCACATGGAGTTGAACAACGCCCACATCGCGGGGAAGGGCAGGGGCAAACAAGCACTCGTTCAGGTACTCAAGATTGCCCCCCAGGAAAACCTGAAGCACCGTGGAAGCTTCCCGCCACTCCAGCGTACAGGAACGACAGAAGGAATGCCAGGAACCCAGAACAAACAAGGGGCAGTCCGCTAGCCAGGAAGACTCCAGAACCTCGTAACAGAGCCAGAAAGGGAACGAAGTCCCAAACCTGAACCCGGACGGATCCATTTCCGAGGTATAATCCGGGTCATGCAGGAGGTACGCTGCAAGGGCCGCCCGCACCACACCAGGTTGGATGCGATAAGCCGAAAACCTCCGGAAAGACAGAACCGACGCACTCGGGGGAACAAGGAGCCGACAAAAAATCCAACTCATAGGCAGAGGGGGGAGTAGAAAACCCCCACTCCTTGTAACAACAAGCCCTGCTCAGAGGGAAGAAAAACCCAGGCGGGGTCCAGCGGGGCCCAAGGCCCCCATGTCAGCCCCTCCCACACCTCGAGGCCCTTCACAGCAGGACCCGGGGCCGAGTCCTCTCCCCAAGCACCGACCCCACAAGACAAGGACGGAGCAGCCTTAGAAGCTGGAAGAAAGGGGGCCCAATGGTCAGACCCAGAAGCTTCGGCCGGGAGACTAGACTCGAATGCCTCTGCCGCCCCCCCCCCGGAAAGGGCATCCCCCGAAGCTGCCCGAGTCTCGAGATCAAGCAACCTCTGCTCAGACTCCGAAACCCTCAGACGCTTCGGGCCGGAAGCAAGGGGGAGGGGGGGGCCAGAACGAACAACAGAAGGGGAAGGACGAGGAGGTGCGGACTGAACCAGGATCGAAGCGACCCCCACCCCAAAGTCCGGGTCTCGAAAAGCAAAGTGGGGCAGCCCCGGGGCATCCGGGTGAGCAACCAACCGAGCGTGTTGCAACAGACGAAACCTAGACTGCAAAGCACGCGCCGCCTGTACCCGAATAGAATCATCAGAGGATTAGGTAAATTGAGTCACAAGCAAGCAGCAACACTCACAGGACTCAGGGTCGAAAGTATCACTGACCCAACAGGCAGCGTGGCAGAGGCAAAAACAATGAGGGTCACCCCGAGACATGGGGACCAAGCAACCCTGAAACTCGCACAGTGAGCGGGGACTCCAGAGTCACATCCATCGGACCCACGCACCCCCTAGGGGATTCCCAGGGTCCTGAGCATTTACTTAAGACGACTCGCGCTCAGGTAGTTCCAGGCAGGGCGCTGCTAACCGGCGCCCAAAACTACCAAGCAAACTTCTATAGCTGTACCACAGGGACGTGTACACTCACGGGGACCTAGCAGGGGGCGCCACAGAGGAGAACCGTGGAAGGGTAAACACCAGTGGAATACTGTAACCCCGCGATTATCCGGGATTCAAACATCCGGAAAACGCCCTTATACGGCCAAAATCGTTATCGGATAAAGTTATCACAATATCCGGCCAAAATGGCCACAGGAACCGGATAAAAGCTAGTTTGGCCGGATGAAAATACGGCCATACCGTATTAATCCCGTCTGTGGCTCTAGACGCATGGTGGAGGAGGGGGGTGGGGTGGGTGGGTGGTGTTGGGAGGGTGGGAGGGGTGCGTCAGGAGGGACCACCTGGGTACAGGAATTACCATTAATTTTAGAACAATTAATCATAGCCAAAAACAAATGAAATAAGTACTAGTAATTATGTAATAACAAATAAATAAGTTTCCTAAAAGCATTGTGCACAGGCTGAAGTTTCCTTAAAAAATATTGTGAATTTTTTTCCTCCTGGCGGCCTACTTAACGTGCTATAGCTGCCCCACCCCAAGTGGACCCATCCAACACTGGTCAACCCATGTGCGTCCGTCCCTCGTGTTATACACAGTGCTGCGCCATTAGTGAAATATTTTTTTAAATAACTTTTATATTTTCATAGTAACTTTGAACATTTTTGGCCAAGACTATGTCTGGTAGCAGCATCAATCGTTCTGGAGGTGTTAACACTTTCGTGCTTTATATTAGAGATAACTCGTCGCCGTTTTCTCTTACGATTCCGCATAACTGCCTAGTTTTCTCGTCCATCGAAAAAATATTTCTATAAATTCCATTTTTTAACCGAAATGGATGGGGATACTTTTGTTTTGTAGAGAATTTATTTGCGAATGTTTTGGTACCAGAATGAATATTATATCACATAAACTTCTATGAGTAAAAAAAAAAATACACAAAGTATGTTTGGGGGTGTGGCGAGCGTGTGGCAGTGGGTTCCCTTTAACCGTTGATATATCCAACACATGGGAAATATTTGTATGTGTTATGTATATGTCTGTGTAGGGAATTTTACTGCGATCACTGTCATACAAATTATAAAATGTTTCAACAAGTATAAACATGACAAACATCAAACGAACGAAAACAATGCGTTCGTTTCTGCCGCGAACGCATACTGAGCGACGTGGTTCTATATTTGGCGCTTCTCTTACACATGCTTTGTACAAATGTTATACAGTTCATCTTATAGAAAATTTTATTGCGAACACATTGGTATAAAAAAGAAATACGTACATAGAAAAGTAGGGTCAGGAAACGTATAAACTTTCCAAGCATGATTTCCCCCCTGTGTTTTCGCCAGTGCGCTCGCGGCTAACTACTCTCCACTTCACACACTCTTGCGGGTGGGCAATTACCTATATTAAACATTCATATGCATATGTCCGTGTAGAGAATTTTATTGCGATTCCAATGATACCGAAATTAGCGATGTAGGACAACTGTAGGCTTCGCAACCATTAAGAGAGTGGAAACATTTTGTTGCTGTTTGGCGCTCTCGGCGAGTGATCTGCATAGTTTTTTATTTGGTGTTGATACTCCTTATGCTTGGGCGGCATTTTATAGGTATGCTCTTATAGACAATTTCATTGCGAACACTGTGATACCAAATTTAAATACGTGCGCCTTTAATAATTGTCAGGACAGTCAAAAGAGTGTACACTTTTCGGTCTTACCAAGTAGGCGCGCGAAGTGCCGAAAGCATCTGGGGTATTGTTTTTTTTTTGAGCGCTGAGAGCGCGAAAGTGTTAAGAGGAAGAAAGTTGTCCTAACAATTAAAGACAAGTCACTGTTATACACCTCAACCAGTGCAGCCTCACAGTGTTGCGCCATTAGTGAAATATTTTTTTAAATAACTTTCTTAATTTTCATAGTAATTTTGAACATTTTTGGCCAAGAATATGTCTGGTAGCAGCATCAATCGTTCTGGAAGTGTTAAGAGGAAGAAGATTGTCCTAGCCATTAAAGACAAGTTACGTGTTGTTCAACCAGTGAGGCGTCACAGGCAGCCAAGCGCCTTCAACAAGTGAGGCGCCACAGGCAAGCCAAGCTCCTTCAACAAGTGAGGCATTACAGGCAAGCCAAGTGCTTTCAACAAGTGACGCGCCACAGGCAAGCCAAGCGCTTTCAACAAGTGACGCACCACAGGCAAGCCAAGCGCTTTCAACAAGTGAGGCGCAAGCAAGCGCCTTCAACAAGTGAGGGCATGCAACGCTTCAACAAGTGAGGTGCAAGCAAGCGCCTTCAACAAGTGAGGCCTCACAGGCAACCCAAATGCCCTCAACCAGTGAGGCTTCAGCAGCTGGCAGTCAAAACTAACTTAGCTTAATGAACTGTACAGTAATTTTAAGTGTTAATTTTAGTGTTGTGTTAGTATAGGTTACGTAAATTGTTTAAGAATTTTTAACTTCAAGATGTGTGGCATCAATCAAGAAGACGAACACCAACAAGGTAAGTTGAGGTTTCTAGTTGAATATTTAATAATTGTATGTGGCAAGGCAATTCAAATTATGTTGTTTGTAGTATAAAAATAGTTGGAAATGGTCACTTTTGGACTCGTAGGTGAAAAAGTACCATTATCCGAAAAATCTGATAATCCGGCTGGGGGTCCTTCCCATATAGTCCGGATGATCGAGTGGAGACAGTAATAGGGCAGAACCCCCCACAAGGCAAAAAGAAAAAGAAAAACAAAACCCTGCAAGAGGACAGAGAACCCCAAGAAACAGAGCCGGCCGCTACGTTGGGAATACAAAGCTGCGTAGGACCCTGCGCCCCTACCAGTGCAAACTGCCTCTTACCTGCAGGTAACAAGGGAGAACAGAACACTCAAGAGCCCAACAGGCGGCCGAAAAACCGAACGGTAGAAAGGACCAGCAGAGGCAGATCCCGAGGAGCCTGTGGAAGGTGGCCCCATGGACAGTACTTACAGAGGCACCTAGGGAAGGAAGCCCTAGACGCATGCAGCCCGAGTACTGAAGATAACTCCTGGTTCTCACACCCACAAAAACAAACACCACACACGAAGCACAGTGCTGTAGCGACACTGGAGCCAGAGCACACGACCTTTGCCTATAGCATCCGCCTCAAGAACTGAGGTGTGGGTAGCCGGCGTGGAGGGTCTGGGGCTTCCCCTTCCCCCACCTGGGGAGGGGAGAGCTGGGCAGACAACTGCGCGGCGACGTGTGACGTTACACTAGTTTACTTGTTTTCTATTGGGGAATTCTATCCACTAGTTCGGCTTTTGGTAGCAATTTTAACCAGAATAGGGGTTTGTTTTGAGGCGCTTACCTTTCTAGGTGCCTGATCCGGTCGATGGCAGACATAGAATGCTTCCAACCACACGGGGGTTTCTAAAGGCCATTGCTCCCCTTGCCTCTGAGGGGGCCCGGTTCTGGCCGTGGTCCCCAGTAGGCCTAAGAACTCCAAACACATGACTGATGCCAAAGTCTGACATTAGCATATCAGCCAGGGAAAGCTCCAGGGAGCCTCCGGGGCTCCCCCCCCCCAGAAAAATCAATAAATTATATACATCATTCAAGACATATGATCAGTTGGTTTCAGTCCCACATGAGAGATATAAAGAGGATGTCTTTTCATAATTTGTATATATGACTCAGGTTAACTAGTTCAATACCTGTATACATTGTTAATATTATCATTCATTACTATCTTTGCTTCTTTTTCTGAAGTTGTCCCTTTGTTAAGTACACAAACACTATTTTAGGTTACATGTTCAGCTTATATTAAATAATACAAATAGAATATATAATGGATCTTTCCTAATTTCTAATGCAACATATACAAAATTGTCAATGTTTAAAAATAAAACTAACAAATGGCTACAATCCTAATAATGAAAATAAATACAAGAATATTTTATGTTAGGCACATAATGCCAACTAGTACAGCATCCTATGCTAACTATCTTGCCTGCATGGTATGTTAAGTAAATTAGTACAGAATCCCATGCTGACTAATGTGGTGCCTGTGTGGGATGTAATGTCAGCTAGTACAGTATCCCACACTAACTTGCCTGTGTGGAATGTTCTGACCGTTGTTTTCATATAGGAAGCTGGTATCAAGGCAGACCTTGTCTTTTGAGTCGACCTTTTCTTTGACTTCCATGAATTCTAATTGCTAACCATACACAAGCCAAGTCTTTCTTCATTGCATATAGTAATTATGCACTAAAGAATATATGATACAAAAAAATTATGTTAAGTAAAAGTATGTTATGAAGGAACCAAAAATAAATATTTACCTCAAACTATTCTGTTATATGCAGGAACTACCTTCCAAGATGTTCAGTTTAACACACTGCCTTATCTTCTGTAGTATCATTGTCAATTACAGTACTGTATTCCATTCTCCACTAGCTTCCCCACCATGGTGATCCTGTGGTCCTGGGTTCGATCCCAGGGGCCGGCATGAAACATTGGGCAGAGTTTCTTTCACCCTATGCCCCTGTTACCTAGCAGTAAAATAGGTACCTGGGTGTTAGTCAGCTATCACGGGCTGCTTCCTGGGGGTGGAGGCCTGGTCGAGGACCGGGCCACGGGGACACTAAAAAGCCCCGAAATCATCTCAAGATAAGGTAAAAGTCATGGTAAGCATGTGAACAATGAATAACTAGTCAAAATGGACAGATTGGAGAGGACAATTTGGAGAGAAAAATTTTTAGTTTTAAAAATTTAAACACATTGTTGGTGATAGGCATTTGAAGATTTTGCTTATGTTATCTTGAGATGATTTCGGGGCTTTTTAGTGTCCCCGCGGCCCGGTCCTCGACCAGGCCTCCTCCCCCAGGAAGCAGCCCGTGACAGCTGACTAACACCCAGGTACCTATTTTACTGCTAGGTAACAGGGGCATAGGGTGAAAGAAACTCTGCCCATTGTTTCTTGCTGGCGCCCGGGATCGAACCCCGGACCACAAGTCCAGTGTGCTGTTCGCTCGGCTGACTGGCTCCCTATGGAATTTGAGATTTTATGGAAAATGGAGTGCCAGTGAATAGCTTTGCCATTTTTTTCAACAACTTTCTACATTTGTTGGCTAGGTGCTTCCCCCAACCCATGGAAAGAAATGAAATAATAGTGTCAATAATACTTTTAATGATCTTTCACACATATACCTAACCCTTGCATTCTATTCTAAACAAGACACAATACAATGTTCTTCTATATTCGATTTAGATTCACTAGATTAGATTCATCTACATTTAACTTCTATTGTAACTTCTATTGCTCATTATTTACCTGGATAGTTGTGAACCAGACACAGAAGCAGAGCAAAACTTGTGGTGTGGCTAGCTATTGACCCCTGAGATTAATGCCAAGTTTTTGGAGTCACTGTTCCACTTCTAGTTTTGCTCTACGTCATGAAGCCATTGTCTATCACCTAGTCCTCCAGCAGAGCATTGTGTAGCTGAACACATCGCAGGGGCAGGCTCCATCCATCAACATCTGCAAGGTAATGGGTAATGAATACTATTTCACTCCTCAACATCTACAAAGTTATAATAATGTAACAAAAACATAAAACCGGGTTTGAATGTAATGAAACGCCATTTTCTGGGTGAGACCTGGAGGCTCCCCGGAGCTTATCCAGGCTGATATAGATATGTTAGACTTTGGCATCAGTCAGTGTGAATGTAGTTCTTAAGCCTACCGGGGACCACGAGCCAGAACCTGGCCCTCTCTGAGAAGCACGAGGTAGGAAGCATTCTATGTCTGCCATCGACCGGGTCAAGCATCCAGAAAGGTAAGCATTCCAAAACAAACCCCTATTCTGGTGAAAATTGCTACCTAAAACCGAACTAGTGGATAGAACTCTTCAACAAAAAACAAGGAAACTAGTATGACGTCATACGTCACCGCGCCACTGTCTGTGCAGCTCCCCCCTCCCCGGGAGGGGGAAGGGGGAGCCCCAGACCTCCCACGCCGGCTATCCACCCATCAGTTCTGAGGCTGGATGACAAAACACGCGAAAAACCGCCGACCGGAGGGAAGGAGGGTTGCCAGGGAGCCTCCGGGTCTCACCCAGAAAATGGCGTTTCATTACATTCAACACTGGTATTCTGGGAGGCACCCCTACAGCTCCCCGGATCTACTTGCCAAAAGACGAAAACAAGAGGGACTTAACCAGAAGACGGTCGTTGCTCACTCCTCAACGCGAAGTCGAGACAACTGGCTGCAACCGCCGACCCAAAGCAACACAAGCCTGACTAATCCCAGGAACATTTACTAAGTAATGCGCAGCCAGGACCCTGTTCGACCGCCAAAAACCCTGCGCCCAAGACATGTTACCGAAGACGGCAGCAAGCGCAGCAAACTTACGAACGTCCGTGCAAATAACGGACGAAACCATGGTGTACAAATAACGGCGGAGAACCGTAACCAGACACAACACACGCACCCCCAACCTGACCAACCAAGCATCAACAACCCAAGGACCCCTCTGGAAAGCAGCCATCTCATTCTTCGACAGAAAAGAAGGAGACGACTGCAACTGAACCTACCACCAGGACAAAAGAGCAGAATCCCCTGCGCCAGAGGAGAGCATGAAGTTCCCCGACTCAACCCCCAGAGACCAATGCCAACAAGAAAAAGAGCCTTGGAGAAACAATCCAGAACTGATGGGGCCACAATAACCGGAGAAGAGAGATAAAAGAGCACCCGATCCAAAGACCAGGATGGCTCACGCAGCACATGAGCAGGCCGGGGGTGAAACAACGTAAGAGACAGCTTGCAGGACGGAGCAGAAGTAACATCAATACCCAAAGCAAGCTGCAGCGGCTCCACCAGTGCCGCACAATATGAGGCAACAGTATTCGGCATAAGATGACGGTCCTGAAACAACCACAAAAGGAAGGACAAGACAACCCGAACAGAAAGTGAAGTATACCTACGAAGAGACAAAAATAAACGGAAGGACCACCAGGAAACTTCATACTGCCGCCAAGACGAAGCACACAGGTGGGACACCATCAACAAAGCCACCTGATCATCACCCAGATGGTGATAGACCAGAGTCATAAATACCAGACGTGAAGACTCGAGAAGATCGAACCAGCCACGTAACAGACCGGACCGACCATCTGAAAGAGGAGGAGATCCCCTGGGTTCGGACACCGAGCAAGCAACACCTGAAACCAAAGCTTGGCCGGCCACCAAGGAGCCAGAAAGATTACTCTCCCCTGGTAAGTCTCCAAGCGAGCTAGGACCGGGAGCAACAGCAGAACCGGGGATGGGGGGGAGGGGGTACAGGTAACCCCACCACGACCAGTCCTGCCGGAAAGCATTGATCCTGACGGCCTCGCTGTCTTGATCCTCCCTCGACCACGCTAACACGAAGAGGTCCAAGTCCGGAAGAGCATGTGTCCGGCAGAGCCAACTGAATGAGTCGGCATCAACCGTCCATTCCAAGGACAGGGGAATGAACCGGAACAGGCCATCCACCAGGACATTGGACATCCCCCAAACGTGAATGTCTATGAGAGCTAAACCCTGAGAACTCAGCAGACGAGTCACCCGAAGTGACCAGCCCAAAAGATCCAAATACCGCATCGAACCCCCTCGGTTCAGGCAATGAACCACCGGGAAGCAGTCCAAATGGAGCCTGATCGCCGAACCGCGAGCAACCCGAATCCATCAAAGCGACATCCACACCGCCGTGAACTCCCACACCATGCTGTGAGCCTGACAGAAGGACAGACCGCACCACCCCTGGCCAGCCTGGTGAGCACTGGTCACAAAGCCCCATCCAAGAGATGACACGTCAGTGAACACATGGAGCGAGAGTTCAGGTAGGCGCCAAGGCACCAAACCCTGAAAACCTGAAGAGGAAGCCAGCAATGCAGCAGCCGATGCAAGGCACCCGGAGGCCGAACCCAGCGGTCACAAGAGAGGCGGAAGGGACTTATCCGAGGGAACCAGAACAGCCAACGAAGTCAAACTCGACCCGGCAGGTAGACCATTATGGCAAAGTTCAGGTTCCCGCACAACCCTCAAGCAACCGCTGAGTGACCAGGAACCCCCAAAAACAAGCGAAGGCGGGACTGCAGCCAAAGCAGAGACTCCGGAGGGAGAGACAAGGAAGCGGTCCAAGAAACCCAGCCAAGTCCGAACCAAAGAGGGGACCATATGGGACTTCCGCCCATTCACCAGAAACCGGCGAGCTGGAAAAAACCAAATCCCTGGCGAGTAGACACAAGGACTGACTGAGAGCCCAGACCAGCCAGTTGTCAAGGTAGGCCAGCACCCGAACCCCTAAGAGACGCAGACGGGCCACCACAACCCAGGTAAGGCGTGTGAAAATGTGTCCTGGAGGCCCAGGGACACCATCCAAGCGCCCAGCTCCAACAAAAGTCGAACCTGGGACACAAAAGTCATCCGAAAGGAGGGGCAAAGAACCCAGGGGGTTCAGACGGGACAAGTCCAGAATGAACTGAAGTCCCGTTTCGGGACTAGGAACAGACGGGAAACCCATCCGAAATACGTCGTCCTTTGGACCCACGCCCAAGTGCACCCACTCCGAGATGACCTGACAGAACACAGGAGAAGAGGCCTGCCCCGAACCCCCCTAAGGAGGAGGGGCCACCCCCGAACCCCCCTAAGGAGGAGGGGTCACCCAACGCCACCACAGGCCGGCTGAAACGTCCCAAAACGACCTGAAACACCCACAAATCTTGAGACTAGGAATGAGCGAACAGAGCAAGCCTCCCCACCATCGCCCAGTCAATGGCCAAACTGTGAAAAGGCTGATGCTCCTTACGAAAACCAGACCCATGCACAGAGCGAACACCATGCCGACCAGACAAAGACGGGTCCGAAGGCAGCGCCGACTCTAAAACTGGCACCAGTCGCCTACCATGACAAGTGAAATCCCGAGTCCTGGCACGACCACTCCAGGAAGGTCCCTCCCCAGGACCCCTGGAGAACCAACAAGTCTGACATTGGACAACAGCTAGAAGAAGCTGCCTGCAGATACTGCTCAACCGCAACATCCGCAAACAGCAAGAGACAAAAGGGCGAAGACAACCTAGGAGCCAGGGCCCAAGCAGATTCCAAGGAGGAAGCATGCACCACCTGCTGACACGCGAGCCGCGAAGCATGAAGCAGAAACACCACATTTCGCAGGATCGGCTCAAACAGCTTTTAACAGGGCAGACGACGCACACGCCAACAAGTTCAAGGCCCAGGAATGGCCCAAAGTGACTCTACATCCTCCTCAAGCCAATCCACATACAGCTCCAGGAGGGAAAATAATCGCAAGACTGAAGCCAGAAGGCCACGAGCGCGCAAGTCCTCTGCAACCAGTGCAGCCAAAAGGGAGTGAACCTGCACACGAAGCTGCACGACACCAATATCCCGAGAAAGGGGCCGGGGCGAACAAGCACGCATTGAGGTGCTCAAACTCGCCCCCCCTTTCCCCAGGAAAACCTGGACCACCGTCAGTGTCTCACTCCATTCAAGCGTTCAGGAACAACAGAATGTATGCCAAGCTTCCAAAGAAAACACAGGACAATCTGCCAGCCAGGATGACTTCGGAACCTCATAACAAATCCAGTAGGGAAACAAAGACCCAAATCTGAAAGAAGATGATCCATAATAGAGGCATAATCTGGGTCCCGCAGGAGGTAACCCGCAAATGCGTCCTGCACCACACGAGTTGGGATGCAGGAAGCTGAAATCCTCCGGAAAGACGGAACCGAAGCACCTGAAGGGACACGGAACCGAACCCATGGAGGGGCAGACAACAAAACCAACTCATACGAAGAGGGGGGGGGGAGGGAGAAAACTCCACTCCTTGCAACAGTAAGCCCTGCTCAAAGGGTAGAAAAACCCAGGCAGGGTCCAACAGGGCCCAAGGGCCCCAAGACAACCCCTCCCCAGCCCCAGGAACCACCACATCAGGCCCCATGGCTGAGTCCTCCCACAAAGCCCCGGCCTCAAAAGAAAAGGCCGGCGCAACCATAGAAGCTGGAAAGAAGGTGGCCCACTGGTCAGACCCAAACACTTTGGCAAGGAGAACCAACTCGAATGCCTCTGTTGCCACCCCAGAAGGGGCATCCCCTGAGATGCGCGAGTCTCAACACCATTTAAATCCTGCCCTGACCCCGAAACCCTCAAACATTTCAGAGCCAGACCAGATCGAACCACAGCAAGGAAAAGATGTGGGGGTATGAACTGAACCAAGGCCGAAGCGACCAACACCCCCCAAGTCCGGGTCCCTATAACCAAAACGGGGCAGCCTTGGGGTTTCCGGGTTAGCAATCAACCTAACGCGTTGCAAATACCTAAACCTAACCTGCAACGCCTGCGCTGCCTGTACCTCAATAGCATCATCAGTAGATTGGGTAAACTGAGTCACAAGCAAGCAACAAAACTTGCAGGACTCTGGTTCAAAGGCGTCACTAACCCAGCAGGCAGCATGACGGAGGCAAAAACAGCGAGTCACCCTGAGACAAGGGGACAGAACAACCCCCAAACTCGCACAAAACAAGAGGGGACTCAGGGGTCACATCCATCAGACCCACACACCCCCGTGGGGATTCCCAGGGTCCTGAGACAGAACTCGCTCTCAGGGAAGCCCCACTGCTAACCGGCGCCCAAGTCTACAAACACAGTGTAGATGAGTGTACACGAATGGACGTGTACACTCACGGGGCCTAGTAGGGGATACCACTAGAAAAACAGATAATCTTATAAGATATAGGAGGCAACCAAGCAATGGCAGACCCCCACCAAACAGGGTTAAAACAAAAATAAAACCCCGCAAGAGGACAACGTACCCTGGCGGAACAGAGCCGACCGCAATGAGAGGTGACAACTAGCTGCGCAGTACTGTGCCCCTACCAGTTCAAACTACCTCTTACCCAAAGGCAAACAAGGGTGCCATAAACACCCCAGCACACAAAAGGTGGCTGAAACGCCCCGGACTTGGGGAGTTTGCTGCTCGGCCGAAAGCCGAGCAGCAAACGACCAAGCAGAGGCAGAACCCAAGGAACTTGTGGAAGGTGGCCCCAAGGGCAGTACTTACCGGGCACCTAAGGAAGGTAGCCCTAGGCGCATGCAGCCTGAGTACTAAAGACTAAAAGTACTAAAGTACTCCTGGCTTGCGCATCCTCCCCAAGGAACAGTCCCCACACCACTAGGTACAGAGCTGGAGATAAATCAGCAGCCAAAGCACACAACTTCAGTCTATCCCATCAGTCTCAAAACTGGGGTTTTTGGTAGCCGGCATGATGGGTTTGGGGAGGGGAGGGGGAGCTGTGCAGACGGCGGCATGGCAACGTGGTGATGTCATGCTCGTTTGTTCGTTTTTGTTTGGGGAGTTCTGTCCACTAGTTCAGCTTTCAGTAGTAATTTCTTAACCAGAATAGAGGTTTGTTTTGGGATATTTACCTTTCTAGGTGCCTGACTCGGTCAATGGCAGACAGAATATTTCCAACCACATGGGGGTTTCTATAGGCCATTGCTCCTCATGCTTCTCAGAGGGGGCCAGGTTCTGGCTCATGGTCCCTGGTAGGCCTAAGAACTCCATTCACACTGATGCCAAAGTCTTACACATCCGTATCAGCCTGGATAAGCTCCCAGGAGCCATAGGGCCCCCCCCCCCAAGAAAATCAATTATATATACTGTATAGACCAGCATAGACCATCTAAGACCAGTTGGTTTCAGTCCTACATGCAAGATATAAAAAGGATGTCCTTTCATAATTGGTATGGCTGACCGAGGTCAACTAGTACAATACTGTACAGTACCTGTATACATTACTAATATTATCATCAATTACTATCTTCGCTTTCTTTCCTAATGTTGTATTTTTGTTAAGAACACAAACACTTATGTGTTACAACAAACACCTTTAAATAATGCAAATACAATATAATGGATATTTCCTAATTCCTAATGCCACATAGATAAAATTTGCAATATTTAATAATAAAACTAACAAATGGCTAAATCTTAATACTGTAATGAAAATAAATAGGACACTTTATGTAAGGTACATAATGTCAACTAGTACAGTATCCCACATTGACTAACTTGCCTGTGTGGGATGTTCTGAACATTATTTTGATATAGGAAGCTGGTATCAAGGCAGACCTTGTCTTTTGAGCCAACCTTTTCTTTGACTTCCATAAACTCTAATAAATGACCAAATAGACAAGCCAACAGTTTTTAAATAGCATTGTACTGATCTATTAACACTTTCGCGCTATCTGGACGCGCCGGCGCGTTCGGTTTCGTCTAACGTAAACGCATAGTGGACATAAAGTTATGTCAACTTTTAAAATATTTGTATAAAATTCAATTTTTATCCGATTTACTTTGGGTTTGTTTCAAACTGCGCGCTATGAGGCTCTCTTTCTCACCACTAGGCTGCATGGTACAATAAGTTCATGAAAGGTGTGGATAACTTCGATCAAATGGTATTTTGTCCCAAACGGGTTGCAGGTGGGTGACTTTAGCCGTTTATACTGGTAATTCTTCCCCCATATCATGTATTAGATGCATATGTCTGTTTAGGGAATTTTATTCCGATCAATATACAACCAAAAATAACTGTGTGCAACAAGTATAATCTTGACAAACATAACAAAAGTAAAAATATTTCGTGTGTGTTTGACGCTCACTGATATGTTCCAGCGTTGTTTTATATTTGTCGCTATTCTAACTTACGCTTTGTTGATATTTTTTACCTATGGGCACATAGAACATTCTATTGTGAACACATTGACATAAAAATGAATGACGTACATAGAAAATTAATGTCATGAGAATGAAATAAGTATAAACTTTCAAAGCGCCGTGCGTTGTCCCGTCACCGATACCGGGTAACAATTTCACCACTTAATGTATTATTCCAAAATGAGGATATTACATAGAATAACAGCATTTAAGCTCTAATATCTTATCAAGGAACCAAATATAAATATATATACAAAATTAGAACTACAGTAGTGTGTCACATGCATGAACTACCTTCCAAGATGTTCAGTTTAACCCCCTTTTCTGACAGTGATGTTACAGCACACAACCTCCTCCTCCGCCTCTCTCCTCCTTCATGTTAGATGCCATACCATACATTGTTCTCATGCTTACCAAGTCTAAATGTATAGATTGAGAGGACAATTTAGGGAGGAAAAATTATAATATTTAAATTTAAACATAGCTCGGATTTTGCTGTGATGCTACGTGTATTTTTTGTGGTGACACACAATTTGGGACATTATAATAAAAGTTGCAAACCACTGAACATCCTGCCTCTTTTTCTTCAATAACTTAACACTGTTGCAGATGAGGAGTCACAATAACATGGCTGAAATATGTTGACCAAACCACACGCTAGAAAGTGAAGGGACGACGACATTTCAGTCCGTCCTGGACCATTCTCAAGTCGATTGTACATTTTCGAGTCGACAACGTTCGTCCCTTCACTTTCTAGTATGTGGTTTGGTTAACACTTACCACTGTTGTTGATAAGTGAACAACAACACTGTTCTAGATAGACCCCAACCAAGCAAAAACAAGAAATTAAATATTGGTAACTCTGACACTACCAATAATAATTCTGATGATACTTCACATTCATGCCTAAGCCTTACATTCCATTCTAAGCAAATCACTTTCACCCCCTTCCTCTGTTAAAATTGAATCACTAAATTAGATTTATCTACAATTATTTCCCCTCAGTCACTATTTACCTGGATGGCTCTGAACCAGACACAGCAGCAGAGCAAAACTTGCCAATGGGGTCAGTCGCTACTGACCCATGAATTTACAGCAACACTGTTCCACTTGAAACTTGCTCTTTCTCATGAAGCCACGAGGTAGAGCAAGTCTGTCACCTGGTCCTCCGGGCGCCCATTGTGTAGGATAGCTGCACACATTGTAGGGGCCGGCTCCTCCCACAAATATCTGCAAGGTTATAGGTAATTAATACTATTTCATTACAGTAACCTACATCTACAAGATTTTAAAGAATACAGTATAACATAATATAAAATAAATATACTATTTATATCATTCACTTCAGACATGATCACTTGGAAGATATAAAGAGGATGTCCTTTCATGATTTGAATGGCTGACTGAGACCAACTAAGCTAATACCTGCATACATTGTTAATATTATCATCAATTACTATTAATGCCTCCTTTCTAACGCTGAATCCTTGTTAAATACAAAAACACTATTACACATTACATGCACACCTTTATATCTTAGTACAAATACTGTATAATGATTTCTTCTATCTCATAATGCCACACAAACAAAATTTGTAACATTCCAACATTTGACTAACATAAGACTACAATCCTAATAATACAAAACATACAAGAACATTTTTTATTAGGTATGTAATGTCAACTAGTGCAGTATCCCACACTAACTTGCCTGTGAGGGATGTTCTGACTGGTATTTTGATATAGGAAGCTAGTATCAAGGCAGACCTTGTCTTTTGGGTCTACTTCTTCTTTCACTTCCATAAATTCTAATTGTTAACCAGAGACACAAGCCAGAATTTTTCTACATTGATAAAATCTATAGTACTGTAATTATGTATTCAAAAGTAATATTCTAAAATGAGGACGTTAAGTGGAGCAACAAGTAACAGCATTTAGGGCAAGCACCAACTTCTTGTTAAATACAAAAACATTATTACACATTACATGCACACCTTTAAATATTAGTACAAATACGGCATAATGATTTTTTTCTATCTCATAATGCCACACAAACAAAATTTGTAACATCCCAACATTTGACTAACAAAATAATAATAATAATAATAATAATAATAATTTTTATTTAGGTAAAGGTACATACATAAAGAGATTTTACAAAGTTTGTTGGCTTTATAGATAGAGCTAGTACATACAATGCCTAAAGCCACTAATTACGCAAAGCGTTTCGGGCAGAAACGCTTTGAAAAAGACTACAGAAAAAGACTACAATATTCTTATGTTAGTCATTAGCTATTAGCATGCATAGCATTTCGGGCAAGTCCTTAATCCTAATTTTCCCAGGAATACGACCCCGCCAAATAATTTAACAAGCACCCATTCACTGTTGGCTGAACAAGAGGCTACAGATAAGGATTGACGCCCAATCCTCCCCGGCCAGGATACGAACCCAGACCAAGCACTGGGCGAGTGTCTTGCCACTGTGCCACGGAGACTTAACCCAGCACTCACCTAGTTGTGCTTGCGGGGTTTGAGCTCTAGCTCTTTGGTCCCGCCTCTCAACTGGTTTACAGATTCCTGAGCCTGTTGGGCTCAATACCAGCGCTATGTTACGGGGTATGACTGTTAATACCGTGCTAGTGCCTGTGGTGTTGTGTGTTGCTGTAGATGCCCTTGGTTGTTGGGTTCATGTAAAGCCATTGCATGGTTACTGACTTTAATATTTATGATACATGACTAGCAGCGTTCGGCGTGGCGGGCGTCCTGCATGGTCTCTCTTGTTTACATGCTGCTCACTGCTGGCCTATGAAACGCACCCCATACAAACGGATGGCGCCGTTTGCTATGAACATGACATCCCTTCTTTTCTTTAAAAAAAAAATAAAATAAAATAAAATGTTTATTTAGGTAAGGTACATACATACAATAAATTTTTACAAAGATTGGTTGACTTATAGGTAGAGCTAGTACATACAATGCCTAAAGCCACTATTACGCAAAGCGTTTCGGGCATGATAAACTTAAATGACAAGCTTAATACTAATTGAGCATAATGAGTAGAATGAAAACAAGAAATGAAAACATAGATGAAAAAGCAGCACAAATACAATTATGTCGACAAACAGCGCTCTTTAAAAAAACAGACATTGGTTGACAATAGAAGGGTAAGGTAGGTTACAGGGAATTTATTAGGTATAGCTTCGTTTTTAACTTAAACTGGTTGAGAGAGGTACAGTCTTTAACATGGTTGGGAAGGTCATTCCACATTCTGGGCCCCTTGATTTGTAGAGCATTTCTAGTTTGATTAAGTCGTACTCTAGGAATATCAAAACTGTATTTATTTCTGGTGTGGTGCTCATTTTGGTGTGGACGATTTTGGAAAAAATAATGAATACAGGATGTCCACCATGCTTGTAGCGCAAAGCAAAGTTATTGACACAAAATAAGTTGTTAACATATCAAAAGGTGTTGCATAGATTTTTACATTAATTAAGTACAAAGAATTTAAAAAAATTAATCTTTACCACCTTAAAAATACAAATGCAATGTTAATCAAAAGTGAAAGAAACCGTACTACAATGTTTCAAAATGTTGAGCGAGAGATCTGCATTATTCAAACAATATTAAATTTAATTTAGCATAATAAGTACTGAAAATACTTTGCATTACATAGTTTAGTTTAGTCCATTTATTATGCACCCCATGCCCATGTTGTGGGCGGTAGTGGAAAGGGTTACAGAGGCACATAATGTGCTCAGGGACTGAACCCCACAATTCATTTAGCTAAGCAAGTTACAATCTTGATGAGCTAGTTACAAAATTCAGTATAAGTCGTCACATCAACAATGGGTTCGAGATCGACCACAAGTACAGTTTCTAAATTAAGCAACTGACATATGTGGAGAGCTAGTGTCACAATTGATATGTTTGTCCTGCACACCGCCCCCCATCCAGTGGGCATTACATAGGAACACAGTTAATCATCAAATAGCTTTGGGCTTTACAATTACTGTAGAGGACTGCTTAGTACCGAGCAAACCCAACGTCCACATCATTAGCTATGCAGATGACATAATGATACACACCACTGGGTATGCTAACACGCAGAACACTCTTAACTCTGTATTAGACTCATGTCAGGACCTAGGTTTAGTTATCTCAGCAGAGAAAACAAAGATACACAATCGGCGCCCACCCAGGCAGGGAGGAGCTGTTCGCAAGATGCAACTGTCTGATGGCTCCCAGCTTGACTATGTAAACAGATTCAAATTCCTTGGCCTTGATGTGCTACTGTATGGTCCTGTTGTAATCAGACTTTGTCGTCAGTATAAACAGAGGCTCCGAGCTCTCAAGGTTCACGGGAGACATCTCCCGTCACGCAGGGTGCAGTCGCACCTCCTCAGATCTCCAGTATCATCTATTGATACTGGTAATGGCTCAAGAGGGCCACCACTTATGGGCTATTCATGTCCGTGCCACCTTTTGGTTGGCTTAATCTTCATCAATCATCAATCTCAAGGCTCACACACAGCACCGTTCCTGTGCCATGTAAGTCCACTACGGGCTCACCATAGCCTGTGCTACTTGCCCCGCTCCTGTGCCAGGTAAGTTACGGGCACACCATAGCCCGTGCTACTTGGAACTTGTTCCGAGTAGCTGAATCTATAACAACAACAACTCTCAAGGCTGATGACTTATATCGAATTTTGTAACTAGCTCATCAAGATTGTAACTTGCTTAGCTAAATGAATTGTGGGGTTCAGTCCCTGAGCCCATTATGTGCCTCTGTAACCATTTCCACTACCGCCCACATGATGGGTATGGGGTGCATAATAAATGAACTAAACTAAATTAACGTATTATATTGGTAAGCATTGATGAGTATCTCTTAACTTCTTCTTTTGTAACGTGGCCAATTCTTTTTTTTCATATTCATGTGTCTCGTTAATTGCTTTAAGTATGCCACTTATGAGCCAGGGTCAGTGAAATCACATTCACTGTCATTTTAGATTGGTTTTAATGATATGTTGTCTTGTACATTATTAACATTATGGATATGAGGTGCGATATTGTGTTGGTCACCTCGACCCCTATGACCTGACCCTCGTACACTGTTCACTAACTGTGGTCTCTTGTTCACTGACTGTGGTCTCTTGTTCACTGACTGTGGTCTATTGTTCACTGACTGTGGTCTATTGTTCATTGACTGTGGCCTATTGTTCACTGACTGTGGTCTATTGTTCACTGACTGTGGTCTATTGTTCACTGACTGTGGTCTATTGTTCACTGACTGTGGTCTATTGTTCACTGACTGTGGTCTATTGTTCACTGACTGTTGTCTCGTGTTCACTGACTGTGGTCTATTGTTCACTGACTGTTGTCTATTGTTCACTGACTGTTGTCTCGTGTTCACTGACTGTGGTCTATTGTTCACTGACTGTGGTCTATTGTTCACTGACTGTGGTCTATTGTTCACTGACTGTGGTCTATTGTTCACTGACTGTGGTCTATTGTTCACTGACTGTGGTCTATTGTTCACTGACTGTGGTCTATTGTTCACTGACTGTGGTCTATTGTTCACTGACTGTGGTCTCGTGTTCACTGACTGTGGTATATTGTTCACTGACTGTGGTCTATTGTTCACTGACTGTGGTCTATTGTTCACTGACTGTGGTCTATTGTTCACTGACTGTGGTCTATTGTTCACTGACTGTGGTCTATTGTTCACTGACTGTGGTCTATTGCTTACTGACTGTGGTCTCGTGTTCACTGACTGTGGTCTATTGTTCACTGACTGTGGTTTCTTTAGTGCGGAACGACACATGGTACCAAAATGACCTAGTTTTCCACAATCATAGCACTTCTTACCTTGAGCAGGACAAGCATTACCTTGGTGTGGGTAGTCTCCTCCACATGTTTCTGATGATTGCTTTGAGTATGACACCTGTGAGCCAGGGGTTGTTTACTCTTTTGGCAGTTGAGGAGAGGACAGTGAGTATTGTAGAGGCTTACAGTTTTGGAAAGGAAGATGTCGGCTAATGAATTTATATCCTGTGGATTTTTGAGTTCAGATTCCCAGTTTATATTGTGAAGTGCATTTGTGAGACTGCTTATTGCTGCTTTACTGTGTAACTTGAAGGTAGGTTTCTTGGTATCTGGTGCTATTATGTCCATGTTTGCTATGAGTTAGATAGGATAGTGGTCAGTCGTTCTGTCAGTGATTATACCAGATACAAGGGGGGGGGGGGCTGTTATGTTAGTGATCCAAGGTAGTAGCAGATGTTTGAGTGAATCGGATGGGCTTGGTGATTGTGTGGATTAGCATGCAGGAGTTCATGCTGTTTAGGAAATAGTCGACTTGGGGGTTATTTTGCATTATATCATCAACATGTTTACCAAGTGATTTGACATTTTGGTTGAAAACTGATAGGCTAGTGTTGAAAACTGAGTTTTGGTCAGATATATCTGATATTTGGTCAGATATATGGATATCTAATATTTGGTCAAATATATAGATATCTGATATTTGGTCGGATATATGGATACTGTATCTGATATTTGGTCAGACATATCTGATATTTGGTCAGATATACCTGATATTTGGTCAGATATATCTGATATTTGGTCAGATATATCTGATATTTGGTCAGATATATCTGATATTTGGTCAGATATTTTTATATTTGGTCAGATATATCAAAACTGATATAAAAATGTGATTGCAACAAGACCTAAATATTTAAACATTCTGCTACCATAATGAACATGCCCTATGCTCGTGGGGACCGTATGCTCATGGGTACCCTATGCTCGTGGGGCCCTTATGCTTGTGGGGGCCCTCGGGCCCCATGTCGTAAGACGATTTTGTCTCAGGTAAATTTAGGTAAATAGATACGCCTTGTAAATAAATACAAGGTCTTTGTCAACTCAAATCTCCCACGCAACCAACCACAGAAAACGTAAACCTTTCACCAAAGCAAGAAGCGATCAGCTGACACCGTCAACACAACACCAACCATCACCGCCAGGTTTGCACATCAAGTCTTAGCTTCTAGACACAACACTAAAGTCTTGCCAGACCGCCAACATTGCCGCGTCTTCAAGCATCACACGTGCAGTCGTCGGGAGAAGAAAATCTTCACGCAAACTACATATATCATTAAGTAGGAAAAAACGTATGTAGATTACTTGCCTTGGTATGCTATGTGTGTTAGTGGCTTTGCATAAATGTACCTTTAGAGGGTCCGGGAGTTCAACTCCCCGAGCCCGGCCTGGGGCCAGGCTCGTGCATTTAAGTAATATATATAGTTTCACAACAGCCTAGTGTACCTTTATAAAATATATAATATACAGTATTACATATAATATATATATATATATATATATATATATATATATATATATATATATATATATATATATATATATATATATTTATTTATTTATTGCCCAAAACGCTGCGCATACTAATGGCTTTACAAGACTGTAATTACCATATTATGTATCCTCACATTCCCAATGTACCTTTTTGTATATGCATAGATAAATAAATAAATAAATATTCATTATATATATATATATATATATATATATATATATATACTGTATATATATCAGTTTATCAGCTTATCAACTGCTGCTTATCAGTTTATAAACTATAAACTGATATAAACTAAACTATAAACTGCTTATCAGTTTACAACCAAAATGTTAGGTCACTTGGTAAACATTTTGATGATATAAATGCACTACTCACAGCACTAGGTACTAAATTATCATTTATCATTTTAACAGAAACTTGGCTAAGTAAAGACTATACCCAACTCTACAACTTAGCTGGTTATAAAGCCATTCATAACTGCAGGCCTAATAAAGGAGGTGGTGGCACAGCAATATATTACAAAGATACCTTCATCTGCAATAGTGTCATTAGTGACAGAGACGACTATTGTGAATATACCTTTGCCAAGTTCTCCAGTAAATCCCTTAAATCCTCCCTGACTATCGGTGCCATCTATAGATTTCCTAATACCAACATAGCTTCATTCTCAGACAACGTAAGGAATCTTATCATAAATAACAATCTCAACAAAAATCACATCATTCTAGGAGGCGATTTCAATATTGACCTGGGTCTTCAAAATAACCTTCAAGTTGACTATTTCCGTAACAGCATGCACTCCTGTATGCTAATCCCCACAATCACCAAGCCCACCCAAGTCACTCAAACATCTGCCACTACCTTGGATCACGTATGAACTAATATAACAGCTCCCCTTACATCTGGGGTAATCTATGACAGAACAACTGACCACTATCCCACCTTCCTCATAGCATACATTGACACATCACCACCAGAAAGCAAGAAACTCTCATTCAGGCTACACAGTGAATCAGCTTTAGGCAATCTCTCTAATGCACGGCACAATATTAACTGGGAATCTGAATTCAATAATTCACAGGATATAAAGTCATTAACTAACCTCTTTCTCTCCAAAACTCTAAGCCTCTACAGCACTCACTGTCCCCTCCTTACCAAACAAGTAACTGACAAAAGAAAAAACAATCCGTGGCTCACAAGTGGATTGTGAGCCACAATCAAATCAATCAACAAAAAACATGTATATGAAAAGAAATTTAGGATTGGCCTAGTTACAAATCAATCAACAAAAAACATGAATATGAAAAGAAATTTAGGATTGGCCTAGTTACAAAGGAAGTAGTTAAAAGGTACTCATCAGTGCTTACCTGATATTTGGTCAGATATACCTGATATTTGGTCAGATATACCTGATATTTGGTCAGATATATCATAAGAAAAGCTAAACTTAAATATTATGAGACAAGATTCAAAGAAGCAAAAGGCAACATGAAAAGCACATGGAAAACCATCTCTAATATCCTAGGAACTAAACAACACTCCCACAACCAGTTAACACTCTCTAAGGATTGCTTTACACCGTCAACTGATTTAGAAATGGCAAATGAATTTAATAGCTGCTTTTCATCGATTGGTGCTAACCTTGCCAGTAAAATCCCACAGACTCAGACACATATCAACACTTATCTCACAGGCAGCTATCCAAACTCTCTTCTTCTTTCACCAGTCAGCCCGACAGATGTTGTGTCCATCATACACTCACTAAAAACCAAAGCTGGGAACATCAGTGAAATACCATCCATGGTATACACGAGTGTCTCCCATGCCCTTGCGCCACCTATAGCTCTGCTGTTCAACAAATCCCTTGAGTCATACCTTCCCTGATATCTTTAAAAAAACAAGAGTAACGCCAGTTCATAAAGGAGGTAATCCGGCAGACATAAACAATTATAGACCAATATCAAACCTACCCATACTATCAAAAATATTTGAAAAAATTATCTACAAACAGCTCTACTCCTATCTCGTAAAATTCAACATTCTTAGCCCCTGTCAATTTGGCTTCCGCTCCCAAAAGAGTACCAACGATGCAATTATTAGTCTCCTTGATATAATTTACTCAGCCCTTGACAAAAATGAGTTTCCGATTGGACTCTTCATTAACCTGAGAAAGGCCTTTGATACTGTTAATCACAATTACCTCTTACGTAAACTCCATCATTATGGAATCCGAGGCCATGCACTGGACTATATCCAATCCTATCATAGTGATAGACACCAATGTGTAGCCATCAATAATATAACCTCTTCCACTCTACCAATAACCGTTGGAGTGCCACAGGGCAGCATCTTGGGACCTCTCCTATTTCTTATGTACATCAGTGATCTGCTTAATGTCTCTAACATTCTGAAACCTATTTTGTTTGCTGATGATACTACCCTCATCTACTCCAACCCCAACCCACATACACTAAATAATGTTGTTAATAATGAACTAAAAAAAGTCCACTTACGGATGTCAACCAACAAACTAACACTTAACATAGAAAAGACCTACTGCATCTTATTTGGAAGCAAATCTACAATTGCAATTCAGCTTCAGATAGATAATGTAAACATTAGCATTAAAAATGATGGAAAGTTTCTTGGCCTATTCCTAGACAAGAGACTCAACTTCTGCACCCACATACAACACATAACTAAGAAAGTCTCTAAAACAGTTGGGATACTCTCCAAAATCAGATATTATGTACCTAACTCTGCTCTCATCTCTCTATATTATGCACTAATCTATCCCTATCTTAATTATGGTATCTGTGCATGGGGTTCAACCACTGCAAACCACCTCAATTCCATCATCACCCAGCAAAAATCTGCTATCAGAATAATAACAAATTCTGCTTTCAGACAACACTCAGCTCCCTTGTTTAACTCCCTAAACATGCTAAACATAATCTCACTCCACAAATTCTCTTGTGTCAACTACATTTACAAAACCCTGTACTTAAATGCAAACCATGCTCTGAAACTCTCCCTGGACAGATGTAATAGGACCCATTATCACCACACCAGAAATAAATATCTCTTTGATATCCCCAGGGTCAAACTTAATCTGTGTAAACACTCTATGCAAATCAAGGGACCTAGTCTATGGAACTCACTCCCTAATGAATTGAAAAGCTGTCCAACTTTTGCGTCATTCAAAAACAAAACTAAAAAGTACCTAATTTCATCTTCATAGTTTTTTACCTTTTGCTTTAAAATTGCATTGTAGCTATTGCTACCCATTCTCCCAATCTTTATGTACCCAGTCCGAACATCTTTACCATTGTGATCATTGCTGTCTTCTTATATGTGCTATCGATCTGCTGTATGGTGTCTCAAGTTGTCAATGTAATCAATCAGAGCTTTAATATGCCAATGTGCTTTAATATACTTACTAATCTCTCTCATCTCATTTTTTTCTTGCAATGTATCTGTTATCATTTTATTAATTCTGCTAGAATTTACCTACTTAAAATTATCTGTTAGATTAAGGACCTGTCCGAAACGCTGCGCATACTAGTGGCTTTAGAAGATTGTAAATACTATGCTATGTATTCTCTCAAACCCAATGTACCTTCTTGTATATAAATAAATAAATAAATAAATAAATATATATATATATATATATATATATATATATATATATATATATATATATATATATATATATATATATATATATATATATATATATATGTCGTACCTAGTAGCCAGAACGCATTTCTCCGCCTACTATGCAAGGCCCGATTTGCCTAATAAGTCAAGTTTTCATGAATTAATTGTTTTTTCGACTACCTAACCTACCTAACCTAACCTAACCTAACCTAACTTTTTGGGCTACCTAACCTAACGTAACCTATAAAGATAGGTTAGGTTAGGTTAGGTAGGGTTGGTTAGATTCGGTCATATATCTACGTTAATTTTAACTCCAATAAAAAAAAATTGACCTCATACATAATGAAATGGGTAGCTTTATCATTTCATAAGAAAAAAAATAGAGAAAATATATTAATTCAGGAAAACTTGGCTTATTAGGCAAATCGGGCCTTGCATAGTAGGCTGAGAAGTGCGTTCTGGCTACTAGGTACGACATATATATATATATATATATATATATATATATATATATATATATATATATATATATATATATATATATATATATATATATATATATATATATATATATATATATATGACAATGTCAGACCACGGAGGGAAAATGAAACAGGAATTTCCTTAAGTACTTTCGTATATTAATACATCTTCAGAAGGAGTCACTCCTTCTGAAGATGTATTAATATACGAAAGTACTTAAGGAAATTCCTGTTTCATTTTTCCTCCGTGGTCTGACATTGTCACATTTTTAATCACGTGTTTATTTTCGTGATATACACACACACATATATATATATAAAATATATATATATATATATATATATATATATATATATATATATATATATATATATATATATATATATATGCGAACAAGCCTGAATGGTCCCTAGGACTATATGCGACTGAAAACTCACACCCCAGAAGTGACTTGAACCCATACTGCCAGGAGCAACGCAACTGGTATCTACAGGATGCCTTAATCCGCTTGACCATCACAACCGGACAAAAGGAAGTGATAGCCAAAGCTATTTGAACCACTTCCCCGCCGGCACTCGGATGGTAATCTTGGGCATAGCATTTTATCAAATCACCTCATTCTTTGGGGCACACGTGAGG